TCTACCAAGAGGCCTGGTCAGCCAGCATCATGAGGTTGAGCTCATCCGAGGAGGGTGCACAGCACAGATGTGTTCCTCAAACACCAGCTGCACACACAGGCCTTTTCCTAACACACGGGCAAGCTTCCTTCCAGCTGAGACAATGACCCAGGTGCACATTGATACTTCAGTTCTTGTTTTTGTCATTTAAACATGTACATGAGAAGATTTGTAAGCACGAGGGGCTGGTTGGAAGGCCCCTCATCCAATTAATTGGGTGTAGCAGCAAACATTCCCAGGAATGAACAGATCTAACTAGGACAGAGGACAGCTGGGCAGTGGGGTGGACAGTGTTTGACCACTGGCTGCTGCGGCTCTTCTCCCAGGCACTGAGTTTGTGTCTCCATGGGTGGCTCCTGGATGTCAAGTCAGGTTCCTGCCTCTCTTTGAATTTAGCGCAGCTCAAGGTGTGTTCTTAGAGGAATGTAAAGATTGGTTTTTTGACATCCCTGCCTGATGTTAGTGTGAGAATATGGAGAGCAGTTTTCTCATTCCCAAAAGCTGGCTATAAAGTGTGTGGATCATGGAGGTCTTTAATTTTTTTTCTTTGACTACTACTTATTCATCTTCAGGTTTACATTTTCTCGGGATGGTATGCAGATCCCCCATGAGCTAGTTGTGTTGGGTGCCTGGAAAGCCTTGTGCACAATCCTTTGGGCCATTAGACAATGTTTTCTGCTCTCTAGGAGTTCATGGCCCATGTTGGGAGTGGGCAGTGTGAGGGGGAGCTAATTGACATAAGAGAATTAGCTAGGGAGTCAGAAGACATGAGTTCTGGGATTAGCTTTGCCACTTAGCTCTACTGTGTGACCCATGACAAGTCCCTCTTCTTTTTTGGTCCTCAGTTTCCCCACCTGTACCATGGGTATATTGGCCTCAATTATTATCAAGCTCTTTTCAGATCTGTTATCCTAGATTATTCTGTCCTCTACCTTTTTGTTTTTTCTCGTGGGATTCTGACATGGCGGATGTTCAACTAGCCTTAGATGCTAGCCATTCCTTTGTAGATGTCTAGTCCTCCTTTTTCTCAGACATTCTTCTCCATGCTTTATAGATTTCATCTCCTCTTTGTGTTCGGGCAATTATCTCATTCATTTATTCCTTAAATTTCAGTGGTCCTTCTGCTGTCTTTACAGCTGTCCTACAACCAGCATCCTCTCTGGACCATCACCGTGGCTGTCACTTCCACATGTCAATCCTGTTCCATCCTCAGAATAGCCTTTCAGCATTATATATAAAACCCTCTGTATGTAGTTCCCACAGAGAAGTTGACTGCATCAAAGACCAAAGGCCGGAGCAACAGGGTCCTTTTAAAGAATCTCATCCTAATGAATTCCAGCATTCCTAGTAAGCATCTTCCTCTTTTCAGCAGTGACATTTACAACTTGGCACCTTATTTCATAATTACATAAGAGGATAACCGTCTGGACAGATGCCTGCATGACAGCACAGGCTGCGCGGGGGCTGTCGGCCTCCCTGAATAGAAGGGGGTGTCCTCCTGCCTCAGCCTGAAAGGTGACAACTGGGCCATCCTTTCACATTGGTGTGAAGGGGTCATTGTGCTGGAGCTGCTGCCTCTTTCCTTCCAAATCAGTTAATCTTGTTGGGTGAAGTTTCTCTTGAAAGTAGTGTTGGCAACTTTGAGCAGACCCTTCCTGAAAGGTGCTTTACAAATGAGCAGCTATAAAAAATATCAAAGCATCTCACAGTCCTGTGTCTTAGGGCTGCGCATTACCTTTCCAGGTTCACTCCAGCCAGTCCCTAAAGGGCAGGGAAAGAGCTCAGATTTATCAAGGGGCTTATTAAGACAAGTCTAGGGCTCTGCCCAAATGAGGGAGCTGGGTCTCTTCAGGAGACAGCTGATGTCCCTGAGCTCTGCCCTCCCAGCACATTCCTGTCCTCAGGGAGCACTCTCTCTGCCAGGGGCAGTGAGACAGGTCCACACAGGTGGCAGTGGCCCGAGACAGGCAGCCACCACTTCTGACCAGGGCCTGTCCAGGCAGGCCTGGGAAGGAGGCACTGGGGCTGCTCCTTGCAGAATAGGTAGGACCTAGATGACCTTGAAAGACCAGAGAGGACACATAGCACGTGGTAGGCTTTCAAGGAAGATTGACTGAGTAAACGGCCTCTCTACCATTAGGAGTTTCTTTAATTATGGTGAAGTTATCATTTTCATATAGAGGACTGCCTTAAATTCTGCATTTGGCTAGCTTGTTGCTCTGCTCTAGAATTCTTTTTGTCTATCAAGGTCTTTGGTGCTTCCCTGTGCTCCCAGGACCCCAGTGTGAGTAGTATTGAAATTAAAATCTACCTCCCTGGAGCTCCTCACCCATCAGAAGGGGAATCAGGGCCCACTGGAAAGAGCATGCTGGGCGAGTCAAGTCAAGCAGACCAAGGTTCAGATCCCAGCTCCAACCCTTATTTGTTGTGGGACCTTAGCTATTGTTTGAAATAAACTATTGTCTGTGCAAAGCTGGACACTTAAAAATGCTCAAAGAAAGGGTGCTTCTATATGGTCATCATTTAGTTTATTGAAAGTACTCCCTAAGGCCATGAGGATGAAATTTTCCCTTCTTTCATAGCCCTGACAATGCCACAAAATTACCACCATACATCCTAGAGGCCTCCCCGTCTCCAGGCCACATGCCCTTTTTCCCCTCCCTCCTTCATCGACAGAACCTGTGATGATGTGGTTTCTCTGCTTGGGATGGTGGTATCATCCTGTCCCTGTCTCATTAGGGCTCTGCTTTACCTTGCGTAAGAGTTGCCTGAGGCCCTGGATGTGGGAGCTTGGGACACAGGAAATGGACCGAAAGAAAGAAAAGAAATGGCTGGAGGTGGGTATGTGCTGTGGGGTTCTCCATCGTGACTTTTTGATGGCTGTCACTCTCATTGCTGGACATCCTTCCTGGGACACAGTGTCTTTCCTTACGGTCACCATCAGGTTCCTTCCTTCTATTCCCCAGGGCCACCTCTTGAGAGCAGCAGGCGCCTCAAGGCTCTGCCCAGTGGCCTGCCTCTATTCTCCCCTCCTGGCTTAGGGCAGATTTCCAGGAGACCAGCAAAGTCACCACAAGGGCTTCCTGACATCCAGACTCCCGGGTCTCTAGGTTGACTCCCAGGTTTCCTGGTTTCTAGGTTGTCGTTATTGTTGCTTTTAGTGCTTTTAGGGAAAGCAGCAGTTTTACAGATCCCGTGATGGGGTGGGCAGTGTGAAGCCAGGCAGGCAGCAGGTCCCCATTGGCCTGGGCAGGCCCATTTCCTGTACCCCCTCCTACAAGGGTCAGGGAAGCCCAGCTCTGGTACCCTCTCACCTTCCTTTGGCCTGGGCAGCTGGATTCTCACCTACTGTAACTTATCTTTTACAAAAAACTCATGTAGGATGTCAACTCATGTTTTGTTTCTGCATCACAGAAGAAAATAGAACAAGGAAAATAAATCAATTTTTCTTGAACTATAAGCTGTGATTTCTTCATAAACTAGTTTAGAGAAAGGCTATTGAATTCCGCAAACATTCTGGGCGTTTCCTGAATGCTGAGCCCCACTACCAGTGGATGGAGGCCAAGATGCCAAAGAGAGGTCCCTGTCTTCAAAGGGCTTCCACCGGCAGCCTGTCCTCAGACGCTGTCATGCTTGGCAGCTGGGCAGGCATGAGAAGGCTGGTGAAGAGCTGAGGGGAGAGCCCCTATATTCTGGAAGGGTGTTGGTGTGACTTCACCCTCCAGCCCTGCCCACACGTCAAAGCCAAGCCCACGTCCCCTGTTCTGTTCAGTCTTCCTCAACTGCCTCAGGCCTCGGCCAGCTCTCTACTCTTCAAACCCTGGATTCCTGTAGCGCTCGGCGGCCTGTATATAAGAGGTTTCCCACCTCTTATTTCATCTTCTCGGCATCACAGCCTTACGAGACGCGTCGTGTCATCCCCACTCTGACAAATAAAACAACCAAGATGTAGAGAACTACGATAATTTTCCCGGGGTCACAGAAGTAATCAGCACAAAACGGGGCTTGCCTTCGTGTATTCTGAGTCCCAGGTCGGCCCTTCTCCTTAGCACTGAGTACTTACTCTCTCTCCATCATCATTTAACCCCACGTGCCCCCTCTTTGGAGCTCCCACAGCCCTCTTCCATTTCATGTCAGCACTAGGTCCTCCCTCTCTGTATTTGGTCCCCTATAGGTCTCTTCTTGAGACCAGGGTCCCAGTCAGCCTGGCGTTTGGTCCCCTGCCGGCACTGACAGTGTAGGAGCTCCATCAGGCTTGGTTGGGTGAAGGATGGGAAAATGAACTTGGCCGGTACCTCCCTCCTCCCGTCTCGCCCCTAGTCATCTGGAAGCAAGGGAAGGAAACATCTCTTACGTGCCAGGTAATTACAAGACTCAGTTTGTGTACTTATAGCCCAGTTTCTCTTTCAGACAGTGGATTAAAAACATAACAGTTTCTGAGGTCTTTTAGCTGTTTCTCTCTGGGTCGGCGTCCTAACTTGACGTGGATCTTGGTTTGCAGAAGGTACTAACAAGGCCTAAGACAATAACGGTTTTTACCCCTCTCTCCCCTGGTCGTTTACCATCTGTGCCCTAAAGAGGAACACCTGTATGCTTTGAGTTTTCAGTAGGGTGTCCACATAACGGATCATCCAAATCAGATACTTTTGAGAAGGAAATGGTGCTCTGTTGACAATTACACCAGGACAGTGGGACTAAACTGGAGCATATGGTCACTTAGTTTTAAACAAAATATGTCTGCAATTGGAAGGAAGGATATGGGCAATTGTTTCTGAAGACTTCCAGAACGCAGGGAGTTGCTGGCGGGTGAAAGGCCTTTGTTTGCAGTGGTAACTTTGCATCTTCAGTGACCCCAAGAATAATCCCCTACCTGTTCTGCACCTTTCATTTCATTTTCTCTCAGTGGCTGAGCCTCCCAGGATGTGTGTCTGTGTCTTATTGTTGTCTTTCCTTTCCTCCAGAGATCCTGCGGATAATTCAGCTGGACCTAGACCTCAAGTACAAGACCAACATCCGGGAATTGTTTGAGGAGTTTGACAATTTCCTGCCAGGCGCCATCATTGGCATCGCGCACGAGATGCAGCCAGTGTACAGGTATGTGGCAGCTGTAGGGGGGCAGCCTCCAAGGCCCCTGCCCACTCCTACCCGCCCCCAATCCTGCCACCCATGGCAGATGGGGATTTATTGGTGTGTGGTCTTTCTGCATTTAATATCTTAGGGACACATTTGTACTTGTTGCTTACAGTTGAAAGTGTGGGTAGGTAGGTTTGCTCAAAGCCATAGAAGCCACCTCATTCTTTTTGGGGAGTTTGTGACATTTTTCTTGTGGAAAGCCCAGCTGTTTTGGTTGTTGTTTCTGGTGAAGCTCAGAATTTTAAAATCTTGGGCTTTGTCTTAGAGAGGAGGTTTCAAGATATAGCTTTAGCCACGGTGGTGATGACCTAGGCTTTTTTGGCCTCTGGTTTACCAGTGGCCCTCCTCTGTATAAGCAGAGTGGGTTCATCAGTGTCTTGTAAGGAGGGAGCGACAGCACGACTTTGGAACACAGATGGACCTCACCTGGTCGTGGTGAAGAAGTGCATCCTGCGTGGTGCAGTTTCATTGTCACGTGTGCGTTGTAGAGAAACTCCAGCACCTGAGAACCAGGAGACGTGTCCAAGGATATTCACTGCGGCCTTGTTTGTCATAGCCAAAAACTGAAATCAACTTAAATGTCCATAGACAGCAGAATGGACAAATAAAATGTATTCATCCAATTGAGTATGATATCAAAACAAAAATGAGCCACGGTAGCTACAGGCACTGATAGGTAAAACTAGACTGCAATCTTTAGGGATGCAAGCACAAGTGGTAAAAACTATAAGGAAAATCCGAGACATGATGATCCCCCAAATCCAGCACGGCCGTTACCTCTGGAGAGGGTGGGGAGTGATGGGGAGGGCCACGGGTCGGGGTGCCTCAGGAGTGCTGCGATCCTTTAGTTCCCCCAGGTGGAGACCTTGGGGGGCTATGCACGTGTTTGCATATGCTCTTTTCTGTGTAATCTGTGTCTTACCATTGAAAAAAGGAAAGGAAATCCAGAAGCACCTACAGGTTTTTGTTAAAAACTAGGCCCCTTGGCCCTGGGTCCAGAGAGTTCCATGTTGCTGACTCTTCCTCCTCTGAGCAGAGCCATGGCTCACTCAGAGCCCAGCTGCCTGGAGCTGGAATTCCACCGTCCCCTGGGCTGGCCTGCTCTTTGTTCTCGGTGCAGACCCTCCTGCTGCCTCCCTGTGGACCTTCTTGGAGCTGGGCCCAGTCTTTGGAGAGTTGCAGGGCACAGCAACGAGTGACTCAGGAGCATGCATTTCCCTAAGAGAGAGGGGAGGTGTGACAACCTCCTCTTGGTTGTGGCTCTTTGCGAGACCCAGATCACATAACAGGAAATTCCGGCGAGGCCTCTGAATGGGCTGATAACTCCCGGGCCTTGTGGGTTGTTCTCCTTATATAATCCTCCCGCTGTGTGCCCCAGAGTCACAAAGTAGAGCCTCTTACTGTGCTATGGGGCATGAGTAGGGAGGGTTTGGGCAAACACCTGCCATTTTAACTCATAGCAGCCTCCCCACCTCATGCCCTCACCTTCATACAAGGTGTATCTTGTGTCTGAGTTTCTTGATTTAGCAAAGGGAGGTGATGGAAGGAGCACTGAACTGAGAGTCCAAGGTCCTCTGTGCTAGTCCCAGGTCTGCTGCCATGCCTGGGCCTTGGCTCTCCATCTGAGGATGGGAGCCGCTGGCCCCAAGACCTCCCTCCCCAAGCTCTGCGTCTGTGATCCCAGCTCTTCCGACCCTCACCATTGCCTCATGGTCTTTCCTCTGTCCTGAAGCTGCGTGTCTGCTGGTGAGCTCCTCATTGCACCCTGGGGGCCAGCGTCCCTGTGGTGTTTAAACCAGGCTAATTGTTAAATGCAGTTGGAGGAGCCATGCCTTAAAGCCCTGGTTTGGAATCTTCTGTAATATAAATGGAAACCTGATCACACTTAATTTAAACAGTATTGGCCAGAATTTGTGTTTTCTCTAGATCTAGGATTTTATGAATGGTGAGACTTAAATCAATTTAATTGTCTGGCCTTCTCAGCAGAAATCTCTGAAAGATTTTAGATCCAAAACGAGATTGAGTTTTTCTCACCTTCAGAGGCTTTAATTATCATCATGTATAACGAGAAAGATGGGCCCTCTGCTGCAGGGCTGCTGGGAGAGTCCAAAACTGCTCCGTTTGCCGGGCTTATGCCCTCAGAATCAACAGATATGAAAACTCCTTTACAAGCTCCCTGCCCCCTCACTGAAATGTTTCTACAGGCCTCTAATAATTAAGTCTGCAAACGACTCCCTGCACTCCTCTGCACCCTGCTGGCTCGGGATAATTGGCTTTGAATGTTTGCAGTCTCATGCTGGGGCTGGGAATGCTTTGGTGCTGGCTGGGGCAGACTGGGAATGGAGTGTGGCTTTTTGCCGTCTTGCATGAGGAAACCGGAGACTCCAGATCAAGTGTTAGTTGTCTGCCACTTTGGAGCCTACGCCTGGGTGTGTGTGTTTGTGGGGAGGGGGTGGGAGGAGACAGAGGGGGGACGGAAAGGGAGTGAGTAAAGAGTACCCGAGCAAGGACAGGCAGAGCTGGGCCCTTCTCCTGAGCAGGCAGTCTCAGCCCCAATCTCCTGGGACTTGGTCATTGTGGCATGGGAGGGGATCCCCAACCCGGCCACATGCCCACCTCTGTGGGCACTCGCCACTCCCTGAGTGCTCCTTGAGGATCTGGCAGTGGAGTTCCGACAGCCTACATGGTGGAGTGTGAGGGGGGCAAGTTTTTCATCATAAGCGGAATCTGCTAGCATCTATGAAAAGAAAGGAAAATTTAGAAACAGAACAAAACAGCACAAAAGCAAAACTTGACTGATTAACCGAGCACATTTTGATCTGGAAATTCACTAAGCGGAAATAAATTTGGATCTCCTCAGCTGTGTTGTTTTTATAGTCACTTGTCCGACAGTTACTATACTTCAAAGAGGCACATACTAAGTCATTTTTATGACTATTTCCTCTCTTTTGTGTGTCATGAATGTTAGAAGCTTGGAGAGGGGTGGGGGAGAAAGCATTTCCCAGTGTCTATTTGACAAATAGCTTTTTTTAACAATTTTTTTCCACCCCAAATGTACACCAAACTGAGTGTGTTTTCTAAAAAGTGATGGACTATGGGATGCTAGTGTAGTGACAGAGGAACCTTTTCTCTTGGGTCCCTGTTAAGATTCTGTTGAGTCAAGCATCCCATGACCTTCCTCAGCTGAAAACTGGGGAGCAGTGGTCAGCTTGGGTGGAGCTTTGCCCTTCCTGTCTTGACTCTTCCTCCGCCTCTTAATCAGGGAACTAGACGACTGGACGGGTCCTCACTGGTGATGTGTTTAGTTGGGATAAGTGGCCAAAAGGAGAGAAGGGTGTAGTGCTTTCTCTGTAAATAGAAGGGCCTCTAAATAGACAACTGTATTTTGCAAATACTGTGTGTGTTAGTCCAGGGTGCCATTTTGAGTTTGCTTCCTTAGGAATGTACTGGACAAATAAAGAAAATGGTTGGACCCCCTTTATGTACAGCTTATAAAAATTCCAGGGGTGTTTCAGCAGCAAGGCAACCACAGGGAGACCCAGGAGCACTCAGGTGGTACTCGGAAGCCGTGGGTTACAGTCCTGCCTTTCATGAATTATCCATGTGACACTTTGCAAGTCACTTGATTCTCTGACCCCCTGGTTTTTTCATCTGTAAGTAGGGATAAATACATCTAATGCGCAGAATTACTGGCAAACTCACATGAAATAACGCATATGACAGTTTCTGGTGTAGAAGAGACCCTCGGTAAAGAGGATTTCCCCACTGCCTCCCTTAAGCCTCATGACTCCTTTTTGTGTTTTCTTTTCCAGATGGTTTGTTCTTCTCGATTCCTCCTGCTCTACCCCACCCCAACCATACAGGGTCACCAGTTAAAACACAGGACACCCAGTTAAACTGAATTTCAGATAAACAACAAATAATTGTTTTGTGTATGTCCCAAATATTGCATGGGGACATACGTGTACAAAACAGTTATTTGTTGTTTATTTGAAATTTAAATTTAATTGAGTGTCCTGTTAATTTTTTGTTTTTGTTCTTTGCTAAATCTGGCAGCTCTACCCCTATCCAAGAGTTAAAACCACCCCTTTTTAGCAGAAGCGAGTGGTCTGGCTTTTCTACAGGATCCTTGAGTGAGCAGGAACAAAGGGTCTGGAAGTGGAGCTCATGAGGGAGCCGGGTGAGAGCGTGAGGGAGCCGGGTGAGAGCATGAGGGGGTGGGAGGCAGCCGCAAAGTCTCCGCGAGGCAACAGGCCTGAGTTTCTCCACTGTGCAGGAGTTGGAGGCTTGGCTGTGGTGCTTGGGAGGCCAGTGGGGCCAGGAAACCCGGCAGTGGCTTAGCTTCAGGCCACAGGGCTCCTGCTGAGCTTGGAGCGAGTGTGTGTGTGTGTGTGCATGTGCGTGTGCGTTTGTGTCGAGGAGCTGGGGTCACAGCCCTTGGTTATGGTCACTCTGTCTCAGAGCTGGCCGCCTGAGGAGCTGCTGAATGGGGGCTTTGTTGGTGGGGGCCGTGGGCTTCCGGTTCATTCTCTCTTGGCTCCACAGGACAGCTGTGTGCTGGTTTGAGCCCAAACCCACCGTGAGGTGGAAGCAGCAGGCTAATCCTGTCAGCTGCTGATAACACAATGCTAGGCAGGAATTTGCTTTCCTGTTAAGTATTTTAGTAGTGCCCATGCCTTCACCTTTTTGCTCATGTGGTTTTTATTGATACCATTTGTGCTGGCCTAGCCTTCTTTGAGATGCTTGCAGTGAAAACGTCCGGCCTGTCTGCAGGCTGCCTTGGCCCAGTGCTAGGACTGGTGCACGCCTCTCAGGGGAGTTGTGGAGGAAGTGAGACTAGCACAGAGGTACGGGAGGATGGAGGACACACCTCTGCCACTCACAGCTGTGTGATCTTGGGCAAGTCTCTTGACCTTCCTCAGCTTCGGTTTCTTTAGCTGAGAAATGGAGATTATGGCAGT